TTCCAAAATAATGACCTAAGTGGATTCGACCGCGTTTTCTCAGTTTCTTTTCTGCATGTGGAAAAGCTTAAAAATGTGAGCAGAAAGACCTCTCTCTGCCAGGGTCCCAGGAGTCCTGCCAGCCCATGCCGCTGTAGGGCTGCAAAGGGCAGGCAGCTGGAGCAGAGCAGCTGAGGTGGACGTGCTTCGTGGCCGAGCCCTGCGGTGCCAGGAGGCCAGCTGTGCTGTCCTGTGCCGTCCCACCCAGCTGCTCTTGGGGCTGTGAGGAGCAGCCAGTGCTGCCCTGAGGGGCAGCTGCCACTCCTCGGGGCACGGACTGATTTCCCTGTGTAATTCCAAGACCGGTTTATCCTTGGGAAGCCTCCAGGATCTCTGTGGAGATTTCAGATGATAGAAATAAGATTCAGACTCAAGGTTATTTGGGTATTTGCAGGACTTGCAGAACTTGTTTGTTTCGCAAGAGATCAAGCTGTCTTCTGCCGTTGTCCTGCAGGGAGATCTCAGATGCCACAAGCACAGGATCTCGCAGGCTTTATCCCCACTCCCTTGGTAGTTAGGTCCAGGCTATCATTAAATTGCAGAATGCACTTTACTGTCTAGCAGAAGTGCTTAGGTTTTATGATGTGTGGTGCATTTTTTAATCATTATTGTTGGGTTTTTTTTTCTAATCTAGCAGAGTAGAGATTTCTGGAGGCTACTATGAATACATTGATGTCAGCAGCTGCCAGGACATCATCCACCTTTACCACTTGCTTTGGTCGGCGACGATTCTGAACATAGTGGGGCTATTCCTAGGGATCATTACAGCAGCGATACTTGGAGGCTTTAAAGACATGGTAAGTTGGTACCAATTTCTCTGTGCATTAAATGAAACAAATCGGGCAAATTGCCTTTTAAAGATAATCATGAAAACAGCTATTGGTATTCCAATGCAAATGATCTATGCATCACTGCAATCAGGCTGGAAAGAAGAGCATGAAATAACTGTAAGGAGAAAGTGGAAATGATTCACCTTTCTGATCTGGTGTCACCACTGAACGCAAATAGAAAAGATGAACAGGATTGGGAGATTGTATTTTCAAAAGGAACCTTCTCGGAGGTGTTGGCAATACCAGGATGAATAAAAATAAGCTCTTTCTTAAAAAATGATCTTCCTTTTCATAGCATTGACCTTCTACAAGGAAATGTGTGGTGGTTGCTCATGAATTGTTGATTTTATAGCAGCAGTAGAGTTCTGAGCTTTACAGACTGTTTAAGCAGCTCTGTTAGGCTGAAACTCTCCATCTAGTTTCTTCATGGTGCAGAATCTGAGAGGGGGAACTGAGGACCAAAACTAGCTGAGAGACTGCAAACTTCAGATAATGAAAAAAATGCTGTTCTGACAATGTGAGCTTTGAAATACCCTCAGCTTGACCAGGCTGCCTGTTACCTTCCATACAGTTTTGTTCCGCAGAGGACAAACCAATGGGGAGAACTGAACATTCAACAGATAAATTTGGGGTTTTTTTCAGTCTCTTGTGACTCATTCAGAGTGATACAAAATGAGGCACTCAGAAAAGACCATTTGTTGTCCTGGCAATACGTTTTTCTTACAAACAAATCTTGGGCCCTGCACTAAGGGTGCCTTATTTCAGAACTCTGAACTTCCTTACGCTCTTTTCAGGCTCACCAAGATCTTCCCAAACAAAACAGGAGACACATTCCCAGCTGTGCATCATGGCTTTTTGAGATTCGATCCATACCAGACAGCCTGTAAACCTCTGCAAAAAAAGATGCATCCAAGTGTCTGTGAACAGCAGTACAAGAGGAGTTGAAATATGCTGATCTCAAAATGCACTGAATAACGGAGTAATCAAAATTAATGGATTCTTCCTCCTACTTGTGAAGATGCAATCTGAACGGTTGTTTTGTTTGAGTGCTGGTGTGCACTGGGCTGTTGCCAGCTTGTTCTGTGGAATCTGAGAGGAAACAATAGGTGGCTGAGGAATGAAATGACCTCGGGACTCACAGGCTGCCTAAGAGGGAACCGGATTGCCAGTTGCTAATTCGGCAGAGTTGAGCTCTAAAGACACACAGTGCTCCTTTAAATAATTTCTGCTTTCATTCAGCTGTCAGCTTTCTGTGACTTGGTTAGCAGCCTGAGATTCTCTCCTTTTTGTTTTAACAGACTCCTTCCCTCCCTACTCTGAACTGCACGGTTGAAAACGCACACCCTTCGGTGTCCTACTACTCAAGGCCACAAGTGACATCTTACAACACCTACTACCACAGCACTCCTCACCTGCCTCCCTACTCTGCATACGACTTTCAGGTAAGGAACGTTACAGGATGTTTTCTTGTTTAGTGGCAAGGTTAAATCCAGCCGGTCCGTGGGACCCTGGAGGGCTGTCTTCCCTTCATTCACACAGTTTAATTTTCCTGTTCTGGCAGAGAATACCACATCTTTCTGACCAGGCATTGGTCCTTGGCAGTGCTCTCTCTTACTAAGGCAGTGTTTTCCTGAAAGCTGTTCTTGAAGAGAAGGCAACAGAACCTGCTGCCTGCCTCCCCTGTCGTTCCCTGGTAGAGGCCACATTAAAAGTAGGCACTGCCTCTGGCACCTGCAGTGCTCTGAGGATAGAGGCACAGTGAGGTGTTCAGGTGCTAGTTTTTATTAGGCCAACTGCTACATCCGAGAGAAACAGATGAGCTTTTGGAAACAAGCTATTTGAGCTCCTGAAGACACATACTGACTGAAAAGCTCTTCTGTTGTGCTTTTTTCCCCACATGCTTCCACTGGTCTAAGAACGGTCCCTGCCAACATTACCTCTGCTGTAATGCATCCCTTCCTCTTCTGAGTTATGGAGCTGTGCTGTTGGAAACAGTGATTTCATGTGAACCTTGCTGCCAACATCAGCTTTCACTTGTTGAAGCAGACGAGGACATTTCCTCCTCAGCTCTTCTGTCAGGTGGATGTTACCGCAGTGATGATGTTAACTTAACACATCATACGTTTCCTTTGCCACCATCAGGGCTGGAGACTTTTTTTATTAACAAGAGCTCAAAGTCTTGGACATCAACTAAGAGGTGTGCTCTGTGATAGCCACCATCTCCCCCATCAGAGCCATGCATTAGATGTAACATGAATCTAAACCTTTCTGGTTTTACTGCTAGTGCCACTAGACAACACTGTTGTCAGGCTTCCTAGAAATATTTGAACACTTACATCAGTATTTCTAGGACATATTTATACAGATTTGTGACTCATTTTTGAGATTAATGCAACGCGGGACAGTCACTATGGTTGTATAACTTTTTACAGTTACAAAAATGCCAACCTCGGCGCATACCAAACCAAGCTCTGCTGCGAAGTCCTCTTTGCAGCCACTCGGCTGGTACCAAGCGCTGTTTAACTCGGGGTTTGTCTGTACTGCAGCCACACTACCAGCAGAGAGCTCAGCACAGGTGGATTTGCCCTGCTTTTCAACTAGAAGTACTGCTGGGGCTCTGCTAGTGCTTATATCTCAGCTGGACAGATTAAAGTCCCTCTGTGTCTCACTGTTGTGAGCACAGGTGTTGGCTTAGGAGCCGGCACAAAAGCTGGGCATATATTGAGGTAATATAAATTTTAAATACCCAAGTCTCTCTTTCAAATGCAATTCCAAGTCTGAGCCTTGTTTATCTTCCAGGGAACCTGAGGGCCTGCATGAAAGCATTAGCTGAGGAGACTCTCTCGAGCCCTGCTCTGACCCAAGCAGTGTCTGTTCCATCCTGACACCATCTCCCCTGCTATCCTACAGCACACAGAGCAAGCCCAGCCTTGCCTCTCAAATCCCTTTCGAAGGCTGTGCTCCCTCTGGTGCAAGAGTTGGCCAAGTCAGTGCTTCCCACTCATCCCACACATCTTTCACATGAAAAAAACCCAATGTTCCAGAATTTCGAAGGAAGCCTGTGCCCCTGCAAGAGGCTGGCTTTCGCACACAACTCTAAAACGGCAGACCCAGCTCTCTGGTTTTTGGAGGAGCACAAGCCGATGGGTGTTGGAGCAGCCACGACTTGTGCCGTAGCTAATGACGCTCCAGCCAGCTGGTCGTGGTGAGGAAGGCCTTTGCAGTGGGCCATGATTGGAACCGGGCAGGGGGAAAGGACCCTGGTGGGAGTAGTGCTGGTGTCCGCTCCTCACTCTGTGCTTGGCTGGGGGCAATCGGGTCAGAAAGTCTCAATCCTGCAGCGTTTTGACTTCTGCAGGCCCTGAGCCATGTTTGGCTCTGATGAGAGAACATAGGCGAGCGGTGGCCTTCTCTGCCTTTCACCCCCTGTTGAAAGAGGCGTTAGTGCCATCTTCCCAGCCGTCAGCTTCATTAACAAAGCCAGGCTGCTGCCTGCAGTTGGCACGAGCCAGGCCTGCCTGCAGCCACGGCAGCTCTCCTCCAGGACTCGTGGCTGCGGCTGAGGCAGCCGGGCGCAGGCGCTTTGTAATGGTGAAAACCCAGGGCTGCGTTTGCTAACGAGCGCCGGTGCCGTGTCACCGCGGCAGTGCCCTGCCAAATGTCTGCGGTCCGGGGGCTCCCACCCATTGGGCTTTAGGTGAACTGGGGCGTGATGGAAGAGCTGTTGTGTTGTTTGAAACGGGAACGGTTTGTATGGCTTTCTGTGAGGTCCTTGGTGAGCAGGCTGGGCTTTCACGGTCTATGCATCCGCTTAATAAACCGTCACAGGTTGGTGTTAGGGGAGTGACACAAAAAAGATGCTGTTTGAAAACAACCTGCTATTACTGCAGAGTCTGTCATCCCACCAAGGTAAAATCACAAGGTCACCTCCGACCTTGTCCATGGCCACCGCTGCGTACAGCTCGGCCTCGCTGCCCCTGGCACGGGTCTCTTGCAGCACAGTGCAAATCCTCCTCGCGGTTCTGTCTCTGCTGGGACCTTAAGCCGGGCACATTCGGGATTTGCAGGGTGGTGAAGGGGTGCGTGCTGCCTGAGCGCCTGTTTCTGGACAGAACGCAGCCTGTGCGCAGGTCTCTGACAGCGCCAGCGCTCCATGACGAGGCGTTAGACCTCAAGTATTTTTGATAACGAAGGTATTTTGAAGAGCAGAAATTAATCTTCAGGCATGCACAAATTTTGTTTCGCCACCTTTTCAAGCTTTTTACTTACTGAAGGGTTAAATTATTTTGTTACCATTAATTTCTGGGGTTTTTTTATTTGTGATGAAGAGAAAAAGTGGTGAAAGAAGAAATTATCTGCAGCCTGTTCGTTGTTGCTACTGGCTGATGTGTGAAACCCAAGATTTGAGAGAGATTCATCAGTTTTCACTTGTCCAGCCTCTGTGAAATGCAGCAGGTACACAGAAGTGATGAGAAAGAACTTTTTTTTTTAATGCCTTCTTCAGTTTTAGGTCTGAGTTGTCTCATTATGCAAAACTGTTACTTACAGGCTGTGCTTACCTTGAATGGAACAAGTTATTTGAATACTTATTTGTATGTACATACGTTTTGCAGAAGTGAGCCTTGAAATGTTAATTTTGCACTGCGTGGTAATGAAGTATCGCTTTGCCAGGATCCTTTACATTAAGAAGTGTTTACATTACAGCCTTCTTGCTGTCTCCCTGCAGCATTCCAGCGTGTTTCCAGCCTCCACTCCTTCTGGCCTCTCCGATGACCCCCAGTCAGTGTCGCCATCTCCCAGCTATATGTGGTCCTCTAATGCACCGCCTCGTTACTCGCCACCGTATTTTCCACCTTTTGAAAAGCCACCACCTTACACACCGTAAAGAACGTGGGAAGGAAGAAAAAAATATTTACCATTGAAATATTTGTGAACATTTTGTATTTATATTTTACTGTGGGAGGGAGCGGGAGGATAGATACAGAAGATAATTGCAAACACAAATATTTGATTGGACTGGTCTTTCTTGCGAGACTTATTGCAGAGGCCTAACAATGGAGTACGAGGAAGGGGACATACTGCTGATGTTTGGCAGTGTCGGGGACTAGCGGGTGGCCTAAATTCCAGCCTCCTTGTTTTACCGCAAGGTTCATGTAGTCCTTGGTTTTTAATAAAGCGATACAACACAGATGATAGATTCTGGTCTACCTTACTCCATCTTATGCCAAGCTGAAGTAAGGGTAGCCAAGATCGATAGTTGCCGGAGAGTATCAGCCTGTTTAAGGTGTGGGTGCTTGCAGACAGCTCAACTTGATGCTTGTTTTGTTTGGCCTTGGGGCTCCAGTTGCTGGGATTTTTTGGGGCCACAGAAGCTAGCTCACATCACTTGTTGGTTACAGCCTATGCACTGGAAAAATCTTGGGGGGAACCGTGACAGCGTCTCAAACTTTAACACTAATGAAAAGAGAAAGCGTCATAGGATATTTTCATGTATGTCTAGCAAAACAATTGGAATATTGCTTTTTTGAGAGGAAAAGCTTTAATAGGCAAGCCATTTTTATTTCAGGAAGCTTCTTAAGATAGAAGGTGAAATGGAGTTGTCTCTCTCTGTGTAAGTAATGCTGAACTCACACAGTTTGGGTGGTTGCACTGCCTAAATCTTTCTTGTATTCCTATGAAGAGCATCGGGAACTGTCCACAAGTCACTGAAACAGTGCAGTGAAAACATTTTTTTTTTCCCCCCTTCTATTTGGTTGTGATTTATTTTTTTTTTTTAAGCTTGTACTTTTAACTTTTTTAATGGACTGAATCAGCACCCTGAATAAGCACTGTTTTAGTAGCTGTATTATGGGCTGCACATAAGGAATATCCACTACTAGTTCTCCAAGATGTAAGTCTCACATGGATACAATTCAACACCCTGTAATATAGGATGAAACTGATAGGAATTTGCAATTATTGTTGTGACTTTCATTTAATCTTCAGCTGATGACTGTGCTGATTGATCTAGATTCCAACAGATTTTGCATGCATCCTGCATACCAAAAGGAGGTCAGCTTTGTTACGTGACACACTGTCCTGTAAAGTGTGGTTCTGCTCCAGAAGTGATTTCAGATGACAGCATTCAGATCTGAGCTGCTCAACCTGAGCGTCTCAACTGCTTACTTCAGGGATAAAAATAAGGTATTGACATTTTACTCCTTATTTCCTAAAGATTTAATTTCTTTGGCATCAGATTGTTGACCCTAATCCTCAATTGTCTACCTTTACTTTCAACTGATGCAGATAAAAAGGTAGCTAAAAGCTAAATCTGGCTTTCAGAATCTAAAAGTGGAATGCGTGCTAGAGGGGAAAAAAATCCAGCTGGATTTTAAACTGTAGCATCTCTCTACTTTTAATCTAAAAAAAAAAAAAAAATACTGTCAACATGGAAAACAAACACTGGAGTCTCTGATCTCACTTTTCAAAGTATACCCACACTTTATAATGCTGTTTTTAATCCTATGCATTTGCAAAGCCTTTAGGCTAGGCTGTGTGTTAACCTTATCATTTCCACTGTCAAATACTAATCAGTATATTAATAAGCTAGAGGATGACACTGGTTATCCAGAAGCAAGTGTAACTTTTCTCCAGTAACAAAGAAAAATAAATGGCTGGAGAAAGGAACGCAGTTCATGGGATTTAAAGCAGTAGTGTATGCAGAACATATCCTGGTGACATTTTGTTTTACTACAGATTGTTGAAGTGCAGCTCCTATAAATTTGCGTAGTGGAAATATAAATTTATATACTAGGGCATCATCCATTTTATATTACATTTTCCTGAATTAAATCTTAATAAAGAGATCATGGGTTATTTCAAAATAAACAGCACTTCTCCTGATAAAACTCCCCACAAAACTAGAATCAGAAGGGCACATTAACTTAATATCAGAAAACATTTTATTTTTCTGTCTTTGAACTAAAAGCTAACAGTCCTGTCCCACTTCTGACAAACATACTCTACCATTTGTGCCTGTCAACTAAATAGGGCTAGAAGGACTAGGGGACCCTACAGGACGGGACTAAGAAACTCATGAGGGGAACAACACTTAGTGGCAGAGAAACACCTAGGAACTGAGTGTGTCATTGGTTTTGAGTTGACAAATACTAAACTTAGGAAACTATCCAAATTCTCATTTTTTTCCTAAGGAATATTTAAGCAAAAATTGCATTGCTGCTTTAAATTCACTATAAAAGGACAAGTCCATTTTCACATTTAAAAAATTACCAGTGGGATTTTCTGTTGAATTACCTGTTTCCTTCTGCTTGAGTAAAACTAAGCATTTAATGTAAATGCAACATTCTGCACTGTACCCATCATTTCTTATGAGAATGTCAAGATTGTGACTCATGTGTACCCTTTTATTACTTTACCAAAGTTAAATAAAATTGTGTGACTTTTGTAAACATTTATAAATTGCATTTTACATTTTAGCGACTTTCCTGTTTCACAACCATCTTTAATGTTAGTATAATTCCAGTATAATAGCATCATGCATTAAAAAAAAAACAAACCTGTATTTGCTATATTGGAAACTGGAGTTTCTACCACGATTAGCCAGAGGCAACTTTAAGTTCCGTTTTTAAAAGCACCAGATGCCCCCACACTTCGTAATTCTGTACTCCTACCCACGTAAGAGGGTGCCCTGACCGCAATCACTGTAAAGTCATTACTGCTGATTTTTTTTGCTTAACACAGAGGCGAAGAGTCCAGCCAGTGCAGTGTCAGTGTCTCCTTTACTTACTTTCATGCTTACATTACTTTGGGCTTAATTCTGTCTTGGTGATGTCAGCTGCTCTTTGATGTTAGCAGCAGTAGGTGGAAGCCCTATGCCAAGGAGATAAATGCATCTAAAAGGCGATTTGATATGTTACTTACTAAATCGCATTCCTTACCTGTAACAAGAAGTCTACATAAAGTAACTAATTTTCTCCATGGTGGCCACAGTTCGCCAACAATCTAACTCCTCCAAATCATAACTAGTCAGCAACCTGTTAAGAAGAGGAGCCCTATCCCCGAGTTAGCTGGAATGCATTGCAATGGTCACTATGTGTGCTTTTCTTGATTTCTAGCTCATTTGCAATGACAGGAGTAGCTGGACAGGCTGTTCCACAGCAGCTCTGCCTATTCTGAGTGTAAGCAGGTATCACAACATTCAGCTCACAATACACAGTGGAGTTTTTCAGCTAATTTGTTTTCTTGGAAAGTGCTCAACCAAAAAACAAACAAACAAAAAACCACAGAAAAAACCTAAGCCCCAAATAACAACACCTCCCCCCCACCCAGGAGGTTCCCAAAGACCTGGAAAAGGAAGCTACAAACTGTTGGTAATCTAACACGTTAGACTGTAGAAGCTGAGTTGTCATTAAAAAGAAACATGCTACACCCATCGTCAGAATTAAATTTTTTTATTTTTGCCATAGAAAGCTCTAAGAACTAATATCAAGTATTGGTTAATGAAAAGTAGAACACAACTTTAAAAAGTATGTTAAGGAAAGACTGTACAACTATATACATTACAGATCTGGCAAAAACGATAAATGTTTCACACAGAACAGTTCCTAGGCAATAGCTGTAGAACCCCAATGTATATAGTCGTCAGCTTCTGCATCTTTTTATAAGCTGCATGCCTTAACAGTACAAAATAAATAAGCAGTCAATTGTCAATATTGGTTTAATTCACATACTGGAATGCTATGGTATGAATCCCCAAAGAAACCATACAGTGAGGATGCACCCACCATTATCATATTTTGCAGCAGATCCGTTAATGTTTTTATACGCATAAGTGACTGTGAGGTTTGCTACCATATTCTATTGAAATTTTTCCATTTTTATATAAATGCTTTTTCAGATTCAATCTTTTTCTTCCATGACCCTAAAGCCAATTTCTTAATATTTACATAAGGTTTTTCATTAAGTTAAACTGGAAGCTAAGTGTTTACAAAAACAAACAAAAAACAAATATAAGTGCAATAGCCAGAAATCTAAATATAAAAGCTCATGGCCCCATAAAAAGTTTTAAAACAATGGATTTAACATGTTTCCAAACCAATAAATACTGGAAGTGAAATTAAAAAATGCTTTACATGACCTCTGGACTTTGGATATCAAAAATCACTTCCAAGGAAAACTGAAGACCCTGAGACACATGCAAGCACGAGTCTTCTAGCAAAAATAGTTACAAAGCCCTAGTTTTCCAGTTTTCCTCCATAAAGAGACCTTTAATAGGCACAGTTTAATTTAAGGTTTTAAATATATCAGCAGCAAATATTGATAGCCATTATGTTTAATTATTAGTGAATGTACACTTTGCAATGTATGCTTAATTCCAAATGTGTCACGTCAATAACAAAAATAACATTGTCTTTTTCTTGCCAAAAAGTTCAGGAAGTCTCAATATAGCACGCAGCCAGCTACAGCAGAGCTACCTGCGCTAATACAGGCAATCCATACCTATGTCTTGTGAGGATTATGTTTGACTGCTGAAATGCCATCTCAGATAACATCCAACCTGTAACATTTGAAAGCATACCCCATTATATTCAAAGGGGTCTGCAATATGATTTGAAAATAACCATGTATATCGTCTTCTTGGCCTACAAAACAAGTGCTGAGCATTATGTGCATAAGGTAAACAAATCCTCCTCTTTCTCCCATCGTTACTTATATAGATTCCTGGTACCCTTTTTTATAGCTCAAGTTGTATTTGAACCATTTACCATTTAAATGGCTTTCTGTCTAGAGTACTATATGTCTAAAACCTTAACCTTGAAGGTCATGGGATCAAGATGCTTACTTAAAACGTGAAAAAGAAAAAAAAAACAACTTTAACTGTAATTTAAGCAATGAAAGGTTACGATAACTAAGTAGTACTATGCACAACAATCTTTCTCAGTCATCTCTAGAACTTGAGCAGTTTTCATATTACCATTTACAAAAATTCAACAAGTCACTAAATCTGAAATGCTAAACTATGACTCCAGTAAACAGCTGTTTGTTTTTCTCAGATCTACTGTTTCCTGTTCCAGTTGGACATCTAATTTCTCTTCTAAGTGCCAAAACATGTACCAATTGCAAGGATCAAAAAAGGACAATACAATAAACCCATAACTGAAAACAGATGAAAACTAGGCAACTGCAGAGAAATGATACTTTGGATTATGGTGGATGGAGGATATTTTTTGATTGTTGGTTTAGTCCTCATGCTTCCACACCCTATAAATGGGGGGGGGATCCAAATCCCCGTTTCACTTAAAGATCTAGCCAGAGGCATATGAGATTCTCAGC